TTACATTGACTTCTGAACCCAGATGCACATATATGGAGCATCTAGAAATGTCACTAGCAGTGATAAGACGATATTGCAGCCGTCTTTCAAAATTCACTCCCTTTTCGTTTCTGTTTTTAGTATGGGGTTTTCTAAGGTGGTAAGAATAAAAAAATGATAGAGCTCTCGGAGTTGATCAATCCTTGAGGGATGCGCCATGCTTTCGACTTCATTATGCACTGTTGGAGGTGATTGAATGCATGTCTGTCTGGCCTTTACAATGACTCGCGGTGGCCTACCGATGTGCCGAGCCAGTTCTGCTATCCTTGTAGGCAAGTCTAGTACCGATTTGCTGACCCCAGAGGGATGGAAGGCTTGTTGGGTCAGGGGTGTAGGGATCTACTCTATGTGTGTTGCGAGTCGCCTCCGACCACTGCGCTTGACGCGTTCCTTCTAAGGTGCATAATTTGCCAAACTGACACCGTCTTGTAGAATCCCTGTTTTTACGCTAACTATAACATCGTTGCAAAGTAGTAAAGTTTCGATTGTGAGGCTGATGTACATAGAATATAAAGCAGTATTCTACAGTGATTAGGGGTGAGTTGATTGTTGAAGGCTGCCATGATAGATTCTTCGAAACTAAAAATGTAATTCAAATGTTTTTTGAAGTGATGACGAAGAGATGAAATAATAACGTATGCTCTCGCTACTCTACTTTATTTGGCTATCATATGGACGTGATCCATTTTGTTGAATTGCTTTTTCCTTATTCGCATCTCCGTTGTTCACGCAATGCTGTCATTCTGGTTGAGGATGACGAGAACGAAAAGCTTCTTGGTCACTGGCAATAAGTTGATTGGACGGCTCTTACCGGTGATAGAAAGGTCTTTTTTCCTTGACAGCAATGCCGCTCTGTGGTTTTTTATTGATTCAGTGACAGCCGTTTTGTTAAAGGTTAATCCTTCTTGTTTACACATCGTAACGAATCGTGGCATGTTCTGCAGATGTACGACTCTGTTCTTGTCTGTGTAGTTAGTTCTTTACCGATAAGACTGACATATCAAAACTGAACTTGGTTGTTCTCTGATATGACTGTCATATCAATGGTGTACTTTTGCGGTCACATGTTTGGTGATCTTGATGTGGTACAGGGCGAGTGAACGTGGCTGTCAAAAAGATCAGAGTTGACGCTTTGATTGCACGTAACTCTAGCATCTGCATGCCAATGCATGCATTTGTATGTTAATCAACTTGGCATTCTGATCTTACGCAAAAAAGATCTTTATCCGACTTCGTTGTATTGTCAGCAATAAAGTCGAAGTTGTTACCGTATTCTTTATTTACGAAAAAGCTCGTGTTTGCCCATCAAGAATACAATAACGTCGGTCCAGGTTCAGGAGAACTGATTATAAACGCGTCGTTTCCATGTTCAGCAAACGCGATCTTGTTACACAGTACACATGGATCAGCGGTTCTTCCTTAGTGGAAGGCAAGTAAAACTTCTCCGAGGAATGCGATACTGCCGCCTAAACGTCAGCTACTGTTGCATTGTATGTGTTCTTGCACGGAAGTAAATGAATGCTGTGCAACAACCTTGCGATTGCTGAACAAGAAAACAACGCATTTATAAACTAATGCCGAGGTTAACAGAAAGTCGAACCTGAGAACTGATTACTTACTGTGATGAGTGCTATTTCTCTATGGATTGCAACAAACGTATGTGTTTACGGCAGATCTCAAATTTGTGTATTAAGGCTCTAATTTACATTGCGTAGATCAGAACGATATGTGAAAAGTAAACGTGGAGATGTACCGTAGAGATTTCATAGGTGGTACTGTGAATGTGTAACATGCAATAGGGTTTTGATTCTCTGCTGATGACACACCTAGTTCTACGATCTGCGGCCTTGGCAGACCTTTGTTGGACGTAACATTTATATTTACGTCTCCTTATCCCACGGATCCCCGTCATATGAGGGATCCCGATAGTCGATTAGTCGCGAGGCTACGTGGCACGTCCCCAGGTGGCGGACAAGGAGTTAATCGTGAGCCAAAAGCGGCTATTGCTTCCCTGAGACGCAGGTGGATCCACGGGATGGACTCCCTGTTTCTGCTGCACCGATAGGCACATACTTTCTGTATTTACGAAGCGTATTCATGCACGCGTGCGGGTGCGTTCTAGTTTGTGCGGATTGCACTCTACGAGTTAATTCAGCCAAAAGCCTGCAATCAAGTGACAGGAAAGAACGTGGGAGGCGGATAGGAGTCGCCTCCAGCAAATAAGCCCCATGTCCATTCTGGAAAAGCCTGGCAAGCCACTAGTGAGTAAATCCAGCTCCCATGTTCAGAGCCCAGCAAGCTATACGTGGGTATCAAAAATGCTAAACACAATAAAAACGGGTCTCATTTTCCTGACCTCGAAAGAGCCCCAATTTGGCAGCGTTGAGTAGGAGAAGTTCGGAGAGGCTGCTAAAATCTCAGGAACAATGCAAACAGCCTGGACTGCAAAGAACTAGGGTGTGACGATCTGTAGCTACAATGCACGTACATTTGCATCCGACTCCTCGATAGAAGGCTTGCTCATGCAAGCAAGAAGGATAAGGTACGACGTCATCGGCCTGACCGAGACGAGGAAACGCCAGCCTTTCAGCGCCGTCTATGACACCATAGAAGAACAGTTCCTCTGAACATGCGACAGTAGAGGAGTCGGCGGCGTTAGGCAAGGAAATACAGTCTCTGCAAAATTATTTACAGCTACCTCTCAGAACGTCGTGCGAACGTTGGAATGGGATAACATGGGAGTGGAAATCGACGGTCGGCAGTTACACCATCTTCGCTTTGCTGATGACATCGTCCTTGTAAGACCAAATATTAGCCAAGCAGAACGTATGCTTGCCGACTTTGATAAGGCCTATGGAAAGATTAGTCTTCGGCTAAATCTCACCAAAGCTATGTTCATGAGGAACGAATTGGCTTTGTATGCGCCATTCACGCTCAACGGAACAAATATCTCCGAATACTCCAGTTACAACTATTTAGGTCGGGAAATCAATATGATGAACGACCTAGCTCCAGAGCTGATCAGAATGATACGAGCAGCTTGGGAAGCTTTCAAGAGCATCGAGGATGTAGTTAAGAGGAAAAAGAGCACCCGACTCCGTGCCCACCTTTTCGACTCAACGGTATTCCTGCCCTAATGGATGCGTCAGAAACCTGGCCGCTGCGTAAGCAGGATGAAAGATCGCTGAGCGTTATCCAACGAAAAGTCGAAAGGACTATGCCAGAAGTATCACGTTTCACACAAGTAAGGGAAAGGATCCGAAGCTCCGACCTGCGTCAACGATCAAAAACCAAAGATGCCGTGAATGAGTATGAACGACAACCGATGGACAAGAGTCGTTAGTGGCTGGATTCCTCGGGATGTCACACGTACTGCAGGAAGACCACCGACTCGATGGTCAGAGGGCTTCACAAGGAACCTTGAAGAAAGATATGATGTTCGTCGAGTCTCTATAGCGAGCAGAACCCACTGGGCCACTCTTGCTCGCGACAAGCAAATTGGAAGATTTACTGTCGCCCGCTCGAGTCACTCGACGGTCAACGGGACTACAGGTGATACAGGTGTTACAGGTTTCCTTATCTAGACACATGTTGATTGACAAGTAGCGCCATGTTATCGTTGTTATCGTGCAAAGTGCAAAATCCTTGGCCACGTTAGGATAGCCTTAAGTCACCATCAGGAGACGCTCACGGTTATGCAGAGTACAGTTAGTCGCTTCTTAGCTGAACAGTCGACACTCTGTTTAATGTTCGTTGATTTCGTCATGGCCTTTCGATTTGTTTTTTCTTTATTCCATGACCCGGTATCGCATGTAAGACGCTGTGGGGATCTCAGCACTTTTTGAATTTGACTGTTCTCCTCGAATTCATCATCTAAGAAGGTCTTCGACATGATTGCGTAAGGGTTTGGTTGCTGATTAAGGACTTTTTCGTCTTCGCTATGACTCCCGTGGAAAGGTGGTAAAGTCGATTCTCCCTAAATTCACGAGATAGCTGAGGTAGGACCTTTTATGTTGATTAGAGGAAATGAGAAAATTTGTTACCAATTTCACGACTACGGAAGGGTTTGGTGCTCGGTGGGGCCGGTGAGGGGCCGAACTAGCACCTTGGTAAGTTGAGTGGTCTCTTTTCAATTCCCTTTGTATACTGTAGGCCTAAAAATACTACAAAAGTGTAATGTTGCAGGATACATTATGTTGCTGAAGTTTGTTATTGGTTTTCGGGTTTTTTTTTGAATGAATGTTCTGCGGCAGGAATTGAGAACGTGAAGCCATGAATTAGAAAGGTAGTCTTGTCATCAAACCGAGCACAAAGAAAATGACACATAGTGGCGTTTTACTTATAGTCTCACTGTTCTTCAGCAAATTTTAATTTCGTAACCGTATTTGTGTGGGCTCGCTTTCTAATGGATCGCTTTCGAAAAGTTGCCAGCACTTATGATTGTTTTTCGCCAAGCTTTCAAGCACAAACGTGTTGTTGTTCAGTTTGTTGCCAACAAGCTATCATGTTATACTCCTGCGGAATAGCCGATAGGCAACATCTTCACTATCCCAGAGGTGATAATAAGGGCCCGACAGTTAAAGCAAGAAGGATAGCACTCTGTGATAATTTTTGTCACCTCGTCTCGAAAGCGGTATGGTTCTCTTGTGCACTGCCTGCCGCGCAGTAAACAATGACGTCTTCAGAAGAACCTCAATCGTGGATACTCAAATCATTATACAAATAATATGAGAATGAAAACATAGCGATTTTAATAGATGTGCACATTTATACGTGGGTTAATGAATTCTTACTACTGATAGCTAACTACTAATGAATAACAACTTCAGTGTATCGTTGGTTCGTTATGATGACTCTATAGAGATTGAGATTAATGGAGTTTTTAATAGTTGGTGGTAAGCGGGAGAGTACAATGATTTCACGAGCAGATGGTAACCCAATGCACCGTTTTTAGTGGACAGATGTTGCAGAGCCCTCTCACCGGCTGGTATTATATTTTCACAAGAGAACTGCATAATGTACTTGTACTATTGTAAGTGTTTAAATTTCATAGCACAAAACAAGGAGGTTACAGTATATTTTTATACCAGCTTAATGAAAGTACATAGCTTTCTGATGATACTTTTCCTATTAATGCCTGATAGTGAGGCGAGTGTGTGGTGCAATGGTTGGAGGCGCCACTGTGACGCATGCGTGGAGTCGATCCTAGTACCCAGGCCTCACCAAGTCTTCCATTCCTCCGGGGTAGGCAAATTGGTACCAGACTTGTCTGGGAGGATAACAGCACTGGCTCGATACATCGGTAGGCCATCGCGAGTTATTGTAAAGGCCAGATATGCATTCAATCACCTCCAATGATACTTAACGAAGTCGAGTGCATGGCGCATTCCTCAGGGATTGGTCAGCGACGAGAGCTTTATTCTTTATCCTTTTAATGTTTGATAGGCGCAAGTGTGTAAAAAGATTAAGAACACTTATTTTGCAATCATCATTGCATCGGAAGTGAGAGTAGGAGACCTGGTAGAAAATTCTAGTGGTGGTTGCTAAAGGCAGTCATCCTCTGAAGCTTCAGCCTCTTGCTCTTCCTTCTTCGAAGTGATCATTTGCTGCTTTTCTACAGAACCTTGAAAGGCAAGTGGATAGTTGCCTAAGGTCATACATTGACATGTAATCTTGAGAGTTTTTGGAGCTTTGGGTGATTTCATGCATCTGATAGTCGGATCTGGCGTAACACCTTGCTATTTCCGCAACAGGGTTTCTTAATTTTCAGTTAGAAAGGATAACATTGTTAGGCGAGCTCAACTACTTCTATCGTTTAAAAAAGGACTGTTCGGGGTTGACAAATGGTTTGATGAAAGGCTTGATTTAGGGGAAGCGGGATCGCACCAAAGACGCTGCGTGTATCGAATGGCGCCCTTAACCACTGCACTAGACATATCGTCATTTGGCCACCTAATGTTATATTATCAAATGGATCATTGACGTAGCAAAAGCTGTCTTGTATTTTTCGAATGTTGGTTTTAGCTTTTCCACTAGCTTGCAGGCGAAATCATGTGACGAACGCGATGGAGGTCGTGATTCTAAACGAGTGCCATCAGACCGGAGGTTAACGTTAGAAGCGGAGCAGTCGGTGATTCGACACAACACTACACATCATTTACAACCTGAGGTACTGTAATATAATCGCAAGATTACTGTAGTGAAATGGTTCTTTTTATTGTTGGTTACTACTTTTTTTTTTACCACACTTGGCTTTCGAACCAGCTAAATTTCGTTGTCTGAAGTTCGTAGGCAAATTTTGTCTCCATTGAATTCTTATTTGTTTGATATTTGTTATAAAACTCCAAGGAGAACGGGGATATTCACAAACACTTTCTCGTATAATTGCCAAGTCGAAAGACAACTTGGCAATGGACTAGAACTTGAGGTTATCTGAGCTTTACATTAATTTTGCTTTTTTTAAATAAAGATTTAACACATAAATTTTGCAACATTTGGAAACACTTTTTCGAAAAAATCGTTGCTGAAGTTGTTTCCACAAAAGAAAGTTGTGTGCTCTTCCAGACGCCTGTCGCCGCTGCGTGTCAATCTCTGTGGGCTGCCAAAGGTCACCTCGAAGAATTACATGCTTTAGGTGAGTTCACAGTTATCGTTGTCAGATAACCTGCAGAATGCTACGATTTTTCTTCCGTGAATTAATTAACTAAGACAGATGTATTTCATCTAAGACTAAAGTATTTCGATGCAAAATTTTCGAAATTTCGGTGTATAAGAACTAATTCAATCCAGTAAAAGGGGATAAAAAAGCGCTCTGCGTTGTATAATCCTCTAGGGCCGTGCTAAACATTCAACTTTATGCGTAACATTGTAGAAGTAATTGAATGATTATATGACTTAGACAGAGACTAGCAAACGTTTAACACCTACCTCAGTTTTTTCTATCTTCTCAGACAGTCTTGTACAAGTTACCTGGCCTGGAGAGATGGGGTTTGGTTAGCGTAGAGCGCGGGATTGCGTCGAATATCCCATATGTATTGCAGGGCACCTGTTACCGCCCTACATGGATCCTACTTAGTGAACTACTATAAAAATCCTATACAGTGCTTGCGTTCAGTGTTTATGTACCTGTTTGCTGAAGAAACAATATGTTATCCGGCTTTTCTGGATTTCGTCCATCGTTTCATTCCTTTCACGTTCAGCTTTTTGGATTTTGACGAAGGAAAATCGAAAATGAAATAAACGAAGAATGAAAATTGAAACAAAAATCTAAGAGGTCTCAATGTTCAGGCATTTCGGATCCGTCGTCGGCTTCAACTTCATTCGAATCGAACACGGACAACAGTGTAACAGAAAATAAGGCCAGGGATGATAGTGCCGATAAGAAACGCCTTCAGTACAGGTGAGACTACTTTTAGAATATTTTCATCGTCTCTAAAACTGTGGCAATGAATTTTATAATGCATAGGTTTAATGGAAACGTTGAACGCATTTACTTCAATGTACTTTTTAATGTAGTATTTACATAGTGACTATAGCTAGAAACCAAGAATCAAACAAAGTTGTCGTGTTCCATTTATTTACTAGAAAACTACTTCCGTAAGGTGCTGTTGCAACAGAACTATGAAAATTATATATATATATATATATATACATGTTATCTATTTCCATTTTCATACGACCGCTTTTCATATCTAGTGCATAGATCTCAGCACTTTCCGTAGTCGATTCCTTTCCTCGCACCCGTAATCCACAAAGGGCTGCCAGTTTTTCATGTGTAGGTTCGGCCGCTACTTCAGGCTTCCTCCTTCGTCATGAGAGTCGTTGAATGCTAGACAAGTCGATTTTCCGTGGAGTGCTGAGATAGTCTGGTTAGAGCATTCCCGCTTGTATTGCAGGGAAAGAGCTTTTTCCAGGACAAGTCTGGTACCTATCTCCAGATCCGGCGGTATTTGCTGAGCCCGGCGGAAGTAGAAATAACAACACTATGCTCATAATTATTGACATCAATCAACGCTCTACCCGCCTCTTTTCGTATATACATATATATATATATATATATATATATATATTCCACGAATGTTGCAGGCCACGCGCGGCGCAGTGGTCGGAGGTACCCTGCGGCACACTCGTGGAATCCATCCCCACGTCCATGGTCCACCAAGCCTCCCATCCCTCCTCTGGGGTCGGCAAATTGCTACCAGACTTGTCTGAGAGGATAGCAGTACTGGCTCGATTAATCGGTAAGCCAACGAGAATCAATGTAAAAGCCAGATATGCATTCAGTCACTTCCAAACGATGCTTAATGAAGTCGAATACATGGTGCATCCCTCAGGGATCGATCAGTGTCGAGAGTTTTATACTTTTCATCCTTTTTATTGGAAGAGGACACCATTAATCTTTTGGACTAGTGACTTTTGATTTGAGTAAATTTTAGGAGTTATCATGGAAAAAATTTGTGACTTCTGATGAATAGCTAGGCGAACATTCCTGGTGAGACGCTTTCATCAATACAGGCATTTTGTGATGTAAGGAAACTATCCTTTGGGTACAACGTTGCTGAGATATTTGCAAAACTTCGGACCGCAGGTGTCTGCTACCCTGTCGTATCCTTTGGCTAGTTTATAAAGTTGTTTTTCGTTCATGAATTTGAACTGTACAGCACCTAGTAGGTAGTGGCTCCAAAATTTCTGAGATCATGAAATTTACTCAGCGTAAAGTGACAAAATCGGTGATGTGAGTGAATTGCCATTCATTATGTTGCGAAGGGTAATTTCTGTTTTCATCAAATCAGTTGTTTTCATCAGTTTTGAAAACTTCCTTATATAGATATCAGTTCCTGTTACTGAAACGCCGTTGATGGATAAGCGTTACTGGATGAATCTTTGATGGGGATCATGATAAACTGTAGGATGCAAATACCGTCGGAAGTTCTACTGCATCATTCAAAAATCCGATCATTCTTCTCTCCATGCCTTCAATGTTTTTCAAAAAACTCACAGTCCTTAATCAAAATTTTATTACCTTACGTCACTGGGTACACTTCAATACAATATTCAGAAGATTTGGTTATGTGTTAAATCAATTCCCATTTCATTTAATGGCTTTCTTTTTTCTTCCCGAAATCTACGCAGCATGTGTAGCCTGGGAGTTACAGGTATCCTTTAATATAGTTGTCTTCGGGGTCGATAAATTGCGACGGGACTTCACTGGGACGGTGAAAACACATGACTTGATATGAAGTACATCGATAGGGCCCTTAATTTACTGAATAAGTTAAATGCTCATTTAATCCTTTCTACAATAGTTCCCAGGATCGACTTTCTCTTAACCTCGGCATTGAAACATGAATGCGTCGTTTTCTTGAACCAGAAAAGAAACGAATTGATCTGTAAGTATTAGCATTAGATTCCCAGGATCGACTTTCTGTTAGTCTCAGCATTAGAATATGAATGTGTCGTTTTCTTGTTCAGCAATCGCGAGGTTTTTAAACAGCGTACATTTACTTCCATAAAAACACGATACAATACAACGCTAGCTGACGTCTCGGCAGTATCGCCTTCTTCAGAGCCTGGAAGGGTATGCTGATGTACAATCTACTAGGCCAAACGCTTCAATAACACTTACACAAAGACGAAAGACTCTTTGGTAATTACACGATCAACAACTTCTCGAAAAACCCACCGCTTTTTCGTGACTTCCAATGAGGAAGTTTAGAACAGCTGATTATAGTCGCATGTGGTTGACGACTGCACCATCCCACATCAAAAATCGATGCGAACGTACGGGATCGAGTTTATTAATTCTCTAATTTCCCGCATGCCACATTTTTGTGTGGCTGTAAGGTTAGAGATAAACTTTCTATCGCGGTAGTGATCAAGGGTCTTGAGAACGCCGTCCGAAAACACGCGGAATTTCATGTCAACTCCATCGTTAGGGTTTTGCTGTCTAAAGAACGTTTTTGGGAAAGGAGATGGTGGTAGTGTCGCCGCTTCTTGATTTTTATCTCTATTTGATGTTTCTTGCTTGGCCTGATAGCGGAGTCGATCTTGAAGCTCATAAAGGTTGCATGCTATCCTACACAGGGTCATTTTAGAAATGGGCTGTGATGGTGCAAAACTTGGGCCCAATTCTAATAGCGACCGCGCATTCTCAGGTATTGTTATGCCCCCAATCACGGTGACCCTAGATTTTCTTGGTGCATTATCAACCCCATTTTGACTATTATCAGAAACGTAAGGAATTCGTTTGCGGTTGTTTTTTGAAGCTGAAACATGTGAATTACCCAAAAAATTTTCGAATTTCCGCTGTGAGGTTATTTTGTCATTAGATCTAGTAAAATCGCATATCAGTATTGACCCACCAACTATCCTCCTCCAAAGGCGATCCTCCTGTATGACCGTCTATGTGAAACAACAAATTGCGTAATTTGCCCTTACGGCAAGGACGGTGATTGCATCAGTTCAGGTACGATATACCTGATCTCTTGTAATAATTGCGGAGATGAATATGTTGGCGAAATGGGCAGAGCTCTGTGCATCCGTATAAAAGAACACCTAGATGGCAAACGAAAACTAAGACCAAGTACCCCACTAGGTACGCATAGGATACAAAAGCATAGCGGAGACGATTTTGAAGTAAAAGTCAATATCCTTGCACAGGAGTCCAAAACACCAGCGCGAAAACTCCTAGAGGCTTTTTGGATCAATGCCAAAAACCCTACAATGAATAGCAAGGATGAATGCCCGGAGGTCATACGCGACCTGACCCCGTGTGTTCGCATCGATTTTTGATGTGGAATGGTGCAGTCGTCAACCACTTGCGACTACAATCAGCTGTTCTAAACTTCCTCATTGGAAGTCACGAAAAAGCGGTGGGTTTTTCGAGAAGTTGTTGATCATGTAATTACCAAAGAGTTCCTCGTCTTTTTGTAAGTGTTATTGAAGCGTTTGGCCTAGTAGATTGTATATCAGTATACCCTTCCAGGCTTTGAAGAAGGCGATGCTACCGAAACGTCAGCTAGCGTTGTATTGTATTGTGTTTTTATGGAAGTAAATGTATGCTGTTTAAAAACCTCGCGATTGCTGAACAAGAAAACGACCCGTTCTACAATGTTTGCTATGTTGGAGTACTTAATGCATTCTGAGGGCTTGGTCAACGCTGAATGGCTTATCCTTTTATTTACTGTTGCTTCAACTTGTCTCGTGCAACACTATGTCTTTATATGTTATGGTTAAAACAATCGCATTTGGGAACTTTCCTGATGCACCTGTATCTTGGGTGCAGAAAAACTTTTACCAGACAACATTGTTGGATTATTGCACGTTTTTTTCTCGCTAGTCGAGCTATACATGAAATAATCTATGGTCTGAAAGACTAATCACACGATACTGTTTGTCATCCTATTTTGAGACAACGTGTTGCAACATGCCCGACTTTTAAGACAGATTTTGATATCACAAATGCCTAGGAGAAAAAGAAATGAGCCTGAACATGTCTAGGTCGTCAAAACAGTTTCGCCGGCGAATCTCCGTAATTTCAAACGACGAACCGCCGCTTACTTATCAAAATTCGCATGAGAGCGATATTTCACACGAACTGCAGAAAATCTTCGATCGCGGTAATTCTCATTCGTCAGATTCACGGAAATCATCGCAAAGTACATTGTACGATAAAAGTTCAAGTAAGGATGCTCGCAATACGATGCTTGACGGACAGCCCAGAAGAACATCGTACAACATCCGTGATTTTAACCGTGACCGGAGACGGCGCTCATGTGACTTTTTCTACGGTCGGCACACTGGGTCGTCAAGCCATTTGGACTTTCCACAGTCGAACTCACACAGTGTTGTCTGTGGCACACTAAGTCGCCGATTACCGCGTGAACTGCCCATGCTGCCAATATTTGAACAGAATCGCGACATTATTGGAGGCGATTCTTGTGCTATTAACGAGCGCCATCTGCGTCATGACGAGAACTCGTCGTACGAGCAAAGCAAAAATCGCAAGAAACGTAAACGTCGTCCTGGTTCTCACATTCAACATGCCACAATCGCTTATGATGCAGATTTCTGGCCTCGAAACCGGCCGCGTGATCCATGGGAAAGTCGGTATGAATTTCGCATACGGTACGCCATGAGTTCACCTCTTTATAGCATGCTTTGATCAGCATTAACAGCAAACCGTTGTATGCGAACTGGTTAGTGACATCGGTAAGGCAAAACTAAGCGCAAGCTTTTCGCATAGTCGGTTGTTCTTTTTGTTTTCACCACCACCTCTCCTGATTCTAGTAGTTGATACCTAATGTTCAGCTCCTTAGGTTTTCAATTTCCTAGTAGAACTAGTTATCGGAACGGTAGAATATAACATATACTGATAACAGCACTATCATCCGTATCATTTAAAACCCATTTATTAGTCAGGTTACTTGAGCAAGCACCACTGAACTTCATCCGCGGTTCAACACAACATCCATCAACAAACAGATTTTTGACCTGTTTATGTAGTTGTGAGAAAAATCTCCAGTTTGTTGTTAAACACCAGCATGGTAACAATCGAGATTGAAGACCTTAGCGGCTATTGCTTTTAGCGGAGTTCTAACCTTATTAATGGTCTACATAGTTTTTTTGCTTGCATTAAAATAGGAATGTGAGTGGTAAACTTTAATGCATTTGCCTTGGAAGAAAATTTTCCCTTTTTCGAAATACTTTTAACCCTAAAAACCGAGCACGATAATTCAGTAAATCTGACGTTTGCAGAGTAATATTTTAGAATTTTAGGTCATTATTGCTGCGCCGGAAGTTTTTATCAACAGCTGCAGTGTCGAGTCTTGACAGCACAAACTCAACCGAATCGAGTGCACCGGATGCGATGTTCGTGAGCAGTGTTGACAGTGGTGGAAGCGATCTTGGTTAGTCAGTGACTTACTGGTTTAGAGTAAATACCGTAGTAACGGTTGTAACAAGGATCGTGTGAATGTGAACCATGGATATAATTCTAGCCTTCATGCCTTTCTTATTTAGTTGGTTTTTTTTCTGTTATTTCAACGATTTTCTCTTATGTGAATGAATATGAGAAGGTTTGCCAGTCGTGATGGTATGTGGTACATCTTCAGTTGGGTTGATAAGAGATAAATGCAGCTCAGAAAGGGACCATACGTGTCCAATGAGCAGCTGTCGATCAGCGGGAGGCTGGACGCTTTGTGATTTGGCTTTTTCCACTAACGCGGAGATAATTGTCATTGGTGGCTGGTTTCAAAGACGGAAATGTGGGACTTCTTCCTAGCTTGAATTACTATACAAGGCGATTAATAGCCCTCTATGTATAGCGTATACGTCCGAGATCCATCTCAAGCACGATTAGACGGTAAACCGCCTCTTACATGCTTGCGTGGGTATGATTAAATGTATGCAGGACGTATCTTGCACATGAGAGTAACCGTTTCCTTCTAGAACATTTGGGTTCAACGCTCACGATGCTGTCTTAATTATTTATGTTATTTCTTAAGGATAGCATTGTCATTCCTCCTAGCGGTTTACGGCCTCATCGTGGCTGGGAGGTGTTCCTGGGTGTCGGGCTGCGATATACAGTGAGGGTTGCTTCTCCGTGGTGAGGTTTACCGAGCTGAGAAGGAGTACATCGTTTCCATCAGGAAGCCTAGCTAAGAGTAAACCAATATCAGGAACCACCACCGTCTTGGTATCAAAATGATCGCATGGTGGCAAATCTTCCTCAGATCCACAACAACTGCGAATACCTGTTGTGGTGAGGACTAGGGCAAACTTTGGCAAGGCTGACCTCGGGGTTCCAGGGAACAGCAGCGGCTTAACCAGTAAATCTCCGAAAAATGGAGATTATGCTGGGGTCCACACAACCATTGAGGACGGGTCATTCAAGTTTCAAATTCCAAGTTAAGACATTGTCGTTCAACCGGCCGTATAGAAAAATTTAGAGCATCGCCGATTATCGCTGATGAATCGCATTTCTACCGGCAGTGCTCCTCAGATCACGCCGAGACCACTTTCTTGGATAAACGAACCAACGAATTTGCAACAACGGAGGCGACATAATGACCGGGACTATAGGTGACTACAGTTATTGGCTTCTTTTACCTACTTTTCTTCGTTTATTCACGTATATCTTCATTTAATGTTTTGTCCTTATAATAAGTTTTTTTGATGGCTTGTTCTATATATTCAAACTTTCAACTGTTTGGTTATACTCATGATATTCCAGAAGTTGTATGGATTCTTTCAATTTAGAAGACTTTTATTTCGAATCCAACGACTTCGTTTTCCCACTTTATGGTCTCCTTTCTGAAATTGTACAGGTGCCAGCACAATTCCCTTATGTCGTTACTGCTACATACTGATGTGGTTAGCGCCATGCAAGATCACATCTACTAGCACCATTCAGTTGTTGATAATCCATAAGCCCGTTTAAGTGGCCTAGAAACAATTATGCTAGATGTCACCTTACACGACAGTTGAAGCTTTTCTCCTACATCTTTTGTGCAACCGTTTTCACTGCATGGCTTACTTACATTTTCGTCCTTATGGATTTATATGCCACTGAATTACAATTGTCGAAGATCTGCACAGCATAGTTCGAATTGATCCTGGTTCTGGCCTCTTGCATATTTGAAGATTGTTGTGGATAGGACAATCTTAGCTTTTTATTTTTCCAGCATTATTTCTCCCAGTAGGGTATGATGTAAAGTACAACCACCGTGATGCTGAGTTATTTGCAAAACATGGACCCCAGGCCAGATTGAACCCGCGATTACCTTTTCCGGTGATTAGTGATTACTCTAGTGGGTAGTGAAGCATTTTTTAAAACACGCTCTAGAAACTGTTTCCAGGATCGACTATCTATTAACCTTGGCATTGGAATATGAATGGGTCGTTTTCTTGTTCAGCAGTCGCAAGGTTTTCAAGCAGCATACATTTACTTCCATAGAGAAGCACAATACATGGAAGAGTATACTGATATACTATCTACTAGACCAAACGCTTCAATAACACTTACAAAAAGACGAAAAACTATAGTAATTACATGGCCAACAGCTTCTCGATTTCTCACCGATTTTTCTCACTTCCAATGAGCAAGATTAGTGCAGCTGATTACAGTCGCATATGGTTGATGACTCCACTATGCCACATCAAAAATTGATTCGAACATACGGGGTCAGGTTGCGTATGACCTCCGGGTATTCATCCCTGCTATTCATTGTAGGGTTTTTGGCATTGATCCAAAAAGCCTCTAGGAGTTTTCGCGCTGGTGTTTTGGACTCCTGTGCAAGGATATTGACTTTTACTTCAAAATCGTCTCCGCTATGCTTTTGTATCCTATGCGTGCCTAGTGGGGTGCTTCGTCTTAGTTTTCGTTTGCCATCTAGGTGTTCCTTTTTACGGATACACAAGGGTCTGCTCTTTTCGCCAATATATTCATCTCCGCAATTGTTACAAGAGATCAGGTATATCGTACCTGAACTCATGCAATCACCGTCCCTGCCGTAAGGGCAAATTACGCAATTTGTTGTTTCACATAGACGGTCATACAGGCAGTTACGAACTAATTGACGACGTAGAGTAGCCTGTGGTATTTCAGCTATCGCTACCGATTCCTCTAGACCTGCCCTTCTTAAGCATCGTTTTATAGCTACGCTTACTTCATCGCTTATAAAAGGCAACATAAACGGGACTTTCTTTTGGCCAAGTGTTTCGCGTGGGAGCGTCGCTCTCCTTGTAAACTTATCTCGTGGGGTTACTATTTCGTAGCCATTGGAGATGGCTATTTGCCGAGGCAAGTCGCGCGACTCTTCCTTTAGTTCTCTGGTAGTGCACACAGAGGTGGCTCAACCACATGCGGCTATAATCAGCTGTTCTGAACTTCCTCATTGGAAGTCACGTAAAAAGCGGTGAGTTTTTCGAGAAGTTGTTGACCGTGTAATAACCATAGAGTTTTTCGTCTTTTTGTAAGTGTTGTTGAAGCGTTTGGCCTAGTAGATTGTATAGCAGCATACCCTTCCAGGCTCTGAAGAAGGCGATGGAAACGTCAGCTGATGTTGTATTGCATTGTTTTTCTATGGAAGTGAATGTATGCTGTTTAAAAACCTCGCGATTGCTGAACAAGAAAACGACGCTCTAGAAAATTCGGACAAATATTAAAGATAGGCTCAATAACTGAACGATTTGTCCTTCGATATTCTGAGAAGTCATACGCAATGCCAGAAATGTTAGGGTTGCTTTTTTAGCTTCATTTACTGGTATTTTCAAAAGTTACTCAACTATAGATAGGTGGCTTTACATTGTTTGAATAACTCCTGTAAAAGGACCAGTCCATAGTGCTGTGCAGCTCAGTCCAAATTTTGAGAATACACTCGTAGCATGATGAATCAGAGAGCCGGAAGATTGTTCCATTAAACTAACTCTCAGAAGTCTTAAAAAGATGGGATTATTGGCATTAATTGTGCTATAAATATGAATATCGATTCTTGAACGATTCATTCTCTGCCATACCCTAACTAATTCATAGGGATACACTTTTACTTAGACGTTTTATGAAACTCTTTGGTTTCAGCACTACATACAAGCTTTTTCTTTTTGTCGTTTAAACTTTTTTTTAAGTCTGATGATTCCACAATCACTTAAGAAGAACATTACGCCACTATAAATTTGAGGCATCTGCATTACTTAGATATTTTATAAAAAGCATCATTCATCGCTTAGCGTGGACGAGCATAGTGACAGTTTGTTCCGTGAATGGAGTCGTGTCGATCCAGCTTATGAGGAACGTGACGTGAGCATTCAACGATACCCAAGACGGCAACTCATCCGTGGCGTGTCTGAGGATCAGTCACCACTACGGTCAGTATCTTTAATTTCCTTCAAATGCTACGAATAACGCAAGGAAGTACATGTTAACCTTATTACTACCTGTCTCTTATTAGGACTATTTGCTGGGAGACAGTCACAGCCAGCCAATAAAAAGCTGTCATGGCGTTTTCGATAATTGTGAAAATATCTAGCACATCCACTGCGAACTGTTCCTCTCGAAATCAATGTGAATTTGACATACAACGGATAATTTGCATTGTATCCAATATGGGCGAAAACTGTTGCGTCGTTCAGCTTTAAACAAAAGCAAAGCAAACAGCTCGTGATGTATTTTTTTCATCGAGATGACAGTCATTAAAACTTACAAAGACTTGCCAATAAAAATTAAGCCTTCTGTTCAATGACGACGTCGTTCCAAATCTCGGCAGCAGTGCAAATCTATTTACTCCCTCTTCTCTCCGTCGACGCTTCCATTTTGGACACCGAAGCGATCGAACCGTCGAGAATTCATGGAAGGGGATAGGGTCATGTACCCTGCCCTCCAATGTATCTTGACGTTTGCAATTGCCGTACTATGCGTAGAAAATTTAAAAATATAAGTTGCTCTTCCAGCTTCTAATGGACTTGAACTTTGAATAGGTATAAAGTGGGAACGAAGTTTCAAAAAATTATTTGTATACCTAGTGCGATAGCGTAGTGTCTTTTCTCTGCGGTAATCAAGTTCTCAACTCAAGTTCTCCTACTCTGGGTGTCGAGAAAATATCGGTAATCGTCAAAGAACCAGCATCAAAACGTCAAAACCGTTATGTATCAAAAAAAGGGGACAGTATAACAATCTGAAACTCCATTAATCGTAAAGTAACTGAAGGAAATATCGGTAAACTTCAGTCGTGCTCATGGAAAACCACAGTTGCCCATTGAGATATGCAATAGATATGGACAGCGTCACACCATTGTCCTCCTTTTCCATGATACCCTTTATTATTGTTCGTGGCGAAAGACGACCATGGATAGAGATCATCGAGCGGTGCTGTAGCATAGAGGCTATCTGGACTGCCGAAGAAAATTTCGCACTTCTCAGCTGTAATAAAAGTGCTACCAAAATGAAACTCCGCTATAGATCGCAATCCGACACGTTCAGACAGAAAATCACGAGGTCACACAAATAAATCATTAATTAGAAAACCTAGGCGATCTATTGATTAATTCTGCAGTATAAAAGTTTTCAAACTATTTAAGTTTGTCGATAAGCGTATTTTCATCTATACGTCTCGCATTTCAGTGGAGATCGACAGCGTACATACACTCGTCAATACTCCGCGAATCCGAGAACCAGCAACGTCATGGTGCCATTGATTCGCTATCCGGACGAGGCCAATTGTAACCGATGATCTGGTTGCTGTACATGAAACTACGCTCGGTGTTCCGTTTACTATACGTGAAATTTCAGACTTGTCTATTTATCTTCTATGGAAACGGTAGTTTAGTACTAAGCCTGCCTGAAATGTTTTCAACAAATGATATTGTGATCAGATGATAGTGTACAACCACAAAATTGTGCTACAGAACGTTCCTGTCAAAGCAAAACTGCTCAGTTTTGCGTTCCATTATGGTCTCGTCACGGATTCTAAAGTGACTCAAACTAAGATGGCACTACAGCAACTGCATCACTACTTCGTTCATATTGTGTTTAAGATATTGCTATGGCTGTAACTAACGAGGCGTCTAATCCGATTTTCATTGTACTTCGCTATTCTGGACAGTTTCCTGATAATTTCTGAATATGTAAATGATATCGGCTTTCCTAATGTATGTACCTCAGGGCTTGGCATGAAAAAAGCATGAATTTCGTTCATGTGAACTAACATTGTTGTTGGTTTGTCGTGGCCCCGCCGACCGTTCTTGTACATGTAAAAGGGATAAATTTTTACCAATCATTTCACATTTTAAACAAAAGTTAGCCTACTACAGTAAGGTTCAACATGAGAATTTTTGGGTCTACAAAATACTGTACTTTTAAAGCCTACGGATCACATTATTTTTTACACTGTGTTATTCAAGGTGTTCATTAAATTGTAAATCGTAAGCTGAAATCGGACAAACCCGCTGAAACTGGCAAGCCATGCATGGTTTGTCCTTTACGTTCAACCAATCATGAGCAGTTCAGAATGTGCGCAAGAAACGGAAATGCTATCTACTTCTACCTGTAATCGAAAAATCAACAAAATGTCTATACTCGGAATTTTCTGAGCGTATTTCACAAATGGGAATGTCAATATCTGCGTGTGAGGTTCTTACCGTAGCTATTCTATTAATACTCATTCATGTATTGATATCCATTCAAATGTGCTCTCCACATTTGTGCGACATCTCATGCATTAAGTTCCCAGAACGGACATCAAAATTGGTAGTATGGTAAAGAGAAAGAAGTATTATACTTTTGTACTAGACCTCTGACGAACGCACAGATTTTTTTCGTGGAATTTCCAGTGACGAATGTGCATACCGCTGTATTGAGAATGCTTTCCTGAGATAGTGAGGAGTAAAACAGTGGTATTTCGTTAACACGTCTTACATAAATGGCAAATATGAAGGCATCAAGGTATCCAGACTATGCACAGATTTTTACTGCAGGCGCAGAATCGCACTGAATGGTAGACAATGATACCACTGGCAGTAAATTCAAAAGACCAGATTTTTATAAACCTGGGCATAAATAGTTGACATACTTATTTACATGGTCTTATAAAATGCCCTTCTTGAGTTGATGCGAGGTTGGTATAAGTTTTCGCTGTCGTTGTTGTTGTTCGTAGTGTTGTTAGTAGATGGCTGTCGTTTCGGCGATTTCGCCTTCCTCAGAGCCTGGACGTATTTCATACAAGAATACTACAATTACTCGGTGGAAAAAAGGCTAAAGTATTAATGAAGATCAAACGTTTAAATAGACGCCATATTGATCAGAAAGGCTACTCACCGTGATGTTACGAATGGGACTGGCCCACGCGTTGCTCACGTGGGGTCGCAAGCAAGACACACACCGGGGTCAAAATATCATTTTGAAATAGGTCGCCAGGTCACGCGTGATAGTGAGACATTCGTCCTACCGGTTCACCTTTGGTTTTTTGAAATCTATCCAAAACGCCTCAAGAGTTCTGCGCGTTGATGTTTTTGATTCCTGAGTTGGGATTCGGACAGTTACTTCAAAATCATCGCCATTGTGCTTCTGTGTGTACCTAGAGGAGTGCCTTGACGAATTTTAACTTTCCCATCTAGGTGTTCTTTTGTGCGGACACAAAGTGGTCTTCCCGCTACCCTAAGGCATTTCTCACCGCATGCGTATGCGTATATAATAAATATATATAAAATTATATATAAATTATATTACAGGAAATAAATGTATATAAAATTTCGCAAGAAATTCTTCGCACATTTAATCACTACCAAAAAAGGAAATTAAGCTCCAACCTCATACACCAACAAAAATGTGGTATGCGCCAGTTTAGAGAGCTCTTAAATTCAAAATCTGTGTTTTTTTCCACTGAGTAGTTAAAAAATTCCTGTATAAAATACGCTCAGGCTATGAGGAAGGCGAAATCGCCGAAACGTCAGCCGTCGACCAGCAAGAAGAACAGCAACAATAACAATGGCAACGGAGACCTATACCAACCTCGTATCAGCTAAAGAAGACCAGTTTATAAGATCATATAAATAAATATATCAGCTATCTACGCCGAGGTTTATAGAAAGTCGGTCTTTTGAATTATGAAGAGATCTCATGTGCATTGCAGGGTGCCTCCGACCACTGCGTAACTGCGTCCTACACACATATATATATATATATATATGTATATATATGTAAGTATCAAGTTTTGGAGCCCGGCTACGATCAACAACGCCGCACAACTAATGTGCAGAAGATGAATGAGTTAGGCTGTAAAATTCTGCCTCACTTGTCTTATTCTACATTCCGTTAATAACTATCCCGCTTTTCAAGCACCTTCGTAATGCAAAAGCCTCCAACTGTCCGACCATTAGCAATATCCCCGAAAAATTCGTTGTGGCGTCCACATTCTGTACAATAAGAAAATTTTAGATTTCAGCGAATTTTATTTCGAATAATGAAGCTATGTTTCAGCCTACTTATGTCGTTTTAGAGTTGCCGTTCAAAATCAACAGGCAGTCATTCCTGAAATTTTGCAAAAAGAATGTCTGTTCCTGTAGCCGGGCAATTTGAGAGTAAATTTTGCAGAAGTCTTTTCATGGGCATGTGAGGCAGAATGGTTTGGGATACCTTGCTATACTCACGTGTAATACATAGGCTACAGTGAAGTTTTTCGTTTGCCCGTTCCCTGTCACGCGTCTTTTCGTCGTAATCGTAACACCAGATCACAAACTCAAATTTGGGTTCACAGCGTTGAATAAACGTTCTTGATGAGTAAACAAAAGGCGTTACTTTATTCTTCACTGATGGTAAAGCCGACGTTTCGGCGGATATCGCCTACTTTAGAGCTTGGGAAGGTCAAGGTGCCTGCAGTCTACTTAAACATCTCCATAACCAAACAGAGAAAATACTAAACTAAGGTTTTTAAACAGCATACATTTACTTCCATAAAAACACAATACAATACAACGCTAGCTGACGTTTCGGCAGTATCGCCTTCTTCAGAGCCTGGAAGGGTATACTGATATACAATCTACTAGGCCAAACGCTTCAATAACACTTACAAGAAGACGAAGAACTCTCCGGCAATTACATAATCAACAACTTCTCGAAAAACCCACCGCTTTTTCGTGACTTCCAATGAGGAAGTTTAGAACAGCTGATTATAGTCGCATGTGGTTGACGACTGCACCATCCCACATCAAAAATCGATGCGAACGTACGAGAT